GGAATGTATACTGTGTCTGTATTCAGCAAGGTTCCTGAGTGAGTATCCAAATAATGTGTACCATTTCTATGATGGTGCTATAGGTATGCTGCTTGGTGTGACTGGTCAGCAACAAAATCTCTACATTGTGTTAAAGGTGAACCTCAGGCACATTCAGGTCCTGTTAGTTATTTGAATTCATACATGACAGTGGCTCCCCGAACAGGGGAACAGAGGTCCAGAATTGTCTCATCTAAACATAGGCATGTAACAGGCACACAATCTAGGGGAATAGCGGGGTCTCAAGAGTGAGAGGGAAGGAAGGCAATGGGAATAGGTATAGGAATAGGAAGGGAAAGGGGAAGGGGAAGGGGAAGGGGAAGGGGAAGGGGAAGGGGAAAGAGAAGGATGAGGAGGATGAGCATGAGGAGGAGGAGGATGAGGAGGAGGAGGAGCAGGAGGAGGAGGAGGGGAAGAGGAAGGGGAAGGGGAGAGGGAAGGAGAAGGAGAAGGAGAAGGAGAAGGAGAAGGAGAAGGAGAAGGAGAAGGAGAAGGAGAAGGAGAAGGGGAAGGGGAAGGGGAAAGGGAAGGGAAAGTGTTCAAAATTAGATGTAGAACTATTGCAAGAGCAGTATATGAAAGTCTTTTGCTCTAGATGTAGCTGTTGGGAGACAAGTACTCACCATCAGCCTACATTAGAGTATGCAGAAGTCTCCAACGTGCTGCAGGCCTGTACTACACAGCCAGCAGGTGTTAAGGGGAAAAGCGGGCTGAGGCAAATGTAACAGTCTTCCTGGTCACATCTACTACATATTTTGTTATTTGGCCAGCTGGAGTGTTGCAGTTCATTCAGCAACTAAGTAATCTATTAACGCATGGGCTGGAAGACACTTTGCAAGGCTTTGACATGTACGGCACTTTCTGATGTTTTTCAGAAGTAAAAAAGGAACAGTCAAACATTACCATGTGCACAAAACCCCTGAGAACAAGTATTACCTGGTTGAAAATTACTATTTTGATTCCATTCCCACGCTTATACACTACCATCAACACAACTCAGCCGGTAATCCTATATGCTCTTTCTGCTCCATTGGCTTTGGTTTAGGCATCTGGACTTCTCAGCATTATTGTGAATCTCTTCCAATACTGAATACTCTAAATATTGAAACATCTTTTGGGAGAGTTTGGGTGGAACTTGATCTAACATCTTTGCAATCAATATTGTTGCTTTCCTTTGCTGTACAGTGCTTTTTGGTATTGTACTACCTCTCCTTGCAATACCTCTGCTGGACTAGCCTGTAAGCACAGAAAATTTTTGATCTTGTGAAGTGATGTAGCAACTGCTGAATATTGAATATCTGTGGTTACATGGATGGTTGTAATACATAAGGGAGATGGAGGTATTAGTTTCCCTGTATTTTCTTTGATTTCAGAAGACTTATGTATGTATTGTGACCTTTAGCAGGTTTTCTTTGTAGGTATGGTGACAAGGCTCCGGCATGCAGTGTCAACACAAGTAAATAAAGTCCCATCCACAGCTTCATTAGGAAATGGTATGAAGATAAGTTTCCTCTTTGAAACTGGTGTCAGTCTTGGCCACTAAGAAAAGAATAACCAGAAAGTCATGACTGTTACTGCTTTCAGGCTTGCAGGAGGTTACAGAATCTTTGGTGGCTATTTCTGCTTGTCCATGAGAATTTGGGAAGGATGGGTTTTCAGTCCATAGCTCCTTCTGTAGTTTCCTCTTGTCCAGTGTAGCATTGAGACTTTATGGTTCTATGAAATAGAGTACCCTTCCTACAAGTGCATCTAGCCTACATCCAGGGCAACATGAACGCAAAGGCATTTTATATCAATTGTTATGTTGTGCCCTTTTTACGGCATTTTATGTCAGGTCTTATATCAACTGTGCAACACCTTGTATGCTTCCTTCCCCAGCACATCAGAGTCATGGCCATTCTTTCTCTTTGCCACATTACCTGGCACAGTAATACTTGTTCTCCAGTCTCCTACATGAAAATATATCATCATTTGATGCATAAATCTTTCTCAAATCTATTGATAAGGCTTAAACCTAAGCAGCAGCAAACAACACTTGTAGGAAGTGTAGTCTCCTTCCATAACTCAAACACCAAGTGGAGAGACAGGTATGTTGCATGGCTCTGCGACCTTCGAGAGAAAACAGCAGCATTGCATGTGGGGGATATGACACTTGCATTTGTTAATTTTTTTTTGCTAAAGGATTTTCTTTTGTCTCACTAGGAATCTGGGAGCTGAAACGAGAAGAAATTGTCCTGTTGAGAGATCTAGGGAGCGGTCAGTTTGGAATGGTCCACCTGGGAAAGTGGAAGGGACAATATGATGTGGCCATAAAGATGATTAAAGAGGGAGCAATGTCAGAAGATGAATTCATAGAAGAAGCTCAGACCATGATGTAAGCTATGGCATTACTTAATTATTTGGAAATAATGATGTCTCCAAACATTAATCAGTAATGTATAACACACACAGGAAAGAGAATTTCCTCTTAAAAATAGCATTAAGTAGTGTTGAGTACATTGGGCACAAGCTAAATAGGTAGCCATATAGGATATTTGAAGTATTACCAAAAGAACTTCACAAAGATCAATACAGTCATCTACAAAGTTTTCAATTAACATCTCTTCCACAACTTCAGAGGTTCCACATATGTCACTTAAAACTCTGTTGCATTAGCATTTATACAGAAACTGTTAGAAAGCTGTTCCTGCCATCCTGCAGGTGGGAATGAGAGACAGATCAATAACTGAGAAATGCCAGAAATATGAACATGAGACTTGAAGTTTTACTCTCTGACTCCAAAGAGTTAAGGATGTTAGAATTTCCAGTGAAATTTCATCAGATGATAATTGAAGCATACAAATTCATGAATATTTCATGTATCTCATATCCTGAAGAAATGCACTATATTAACTACATAGTTAATGATCAGATATGATCAGGATTCTCAATGTGAAAATTTTGTAACATGGTTTTAGTAGAAAACCTTAAGGTCTAAGGTCCACCCCACCTACTCAGATCTATTTTCTCCCACCAATAAGGTTGCACTGTTGCACTGCTAAATCCTATTTCAAGTTTTGACTATAAAGTTGTCATTTCATCAATACTGAGTCTTTTGATTGTCATCAATACTGAGTTTCAAAGTAATCAGCAGAAGGACACTCAATTCTTCTTGAAAAGGAATATTTGAAGTCTGAGATGGAACTGTATCCAGTCTCAATAATTTCTTTCAGTATGTTGTATTAATATTTGAAGAGCAAGACTTACAGAAATGCACAAGAATCTCCATTTATTCTTTGATTATTTTATTTTTTTTATTTTTATTTATTTCAGGAAAATTAATCATCCCAAACTTGTTAGACTGTACGGTGTATGCTCAAAATCATATCCCATCTATATAGTGACGGAATACATGCCTAATGGCTGTTTGCTTAGCTACTTAAGGAGTCATGGGAAGGAACTACAATCCCTTCAGCTTCTGGAAATATGTTATGATGTTTGTGATGCTATGGCATTTCTGGAGAGCTGTCAGTTCATACATAGAGATTTGGTAAGCTATCCCACGGGAGAAGTGGAACAGTGAAGGTAGGGGGATGACCTAAAGCTAGGCAGTCCTACCCCTCAGGTTCACCCAGAGCTGCACTGGCTCTGATGGCATGCACCCCAGAAAGCATGGTGGTCCACTGAACAGAGACACCCAGCTGGCTCAATACAAGGCAGCTCTGGATGAGCATCACTAAAGCCACATGTAAACAGCGCTGCCCACAAGTGAATATGTTCTGCTTCAGAGCTGAGTTGACAGGTCTACAGCACCGCATACCGTGCTGCCTGCATTTATGGGCTCTAGCATCAAGGATTTATGCACCACTTGGCAGCACAGACATCCAATCGGAAAATTAGTCCGCTGAAGCAAAGAGTTATGTCCAATGATGCTGTAGTTCTCCAGAAGAAAGCGGTACAACATTAAAGATTTGGCTGGCTTAGCTTGTATTTTGATGAGTTAGGGATTTATCTAATTGGGAACTATTTCTCTTATAAAACAAGTGTGGGCACTACTAGGATAAACTGGAATTTACTCTGGTGAATTGCAAGCAGGAGCAGAACTTGAAAGTCTGCAGCTACCTATCTCTTTTAAATACATTCATCTGCCAGTTTTCAAGCAAGTATTTCAAGTTGCTTTCAATGAAAGGATCAGGCCTTTCAAGGACTTGGACCAAAAGTTTATGAAAAACTTAGCTTTCAAGAATGCTGGCTTGGGGGAAATAAGCTGTTATTTTATTGGCCTATTAAAATTGAACCTAGTCAAATTTCTGGTGCATTGTGCTTCAGAGTTGGGAACAGTATTTTACATTCTAATTCTAGACAAATATAATGGAAGATTTGTGACAATTTATGTTACAGATTTGCTTAATTTTCCAATAGGGATGCAGTCTCCTCAGGTAGCATTTTAAATGTCTTGTTGATGCTTTCAAAGAATTGTCTTTATGTTTAAATAAAGTTGTTAAATCCATACCTCACCAATTTTCGCACCCTGATTCAGAAATCGGGAATATCAGACAACCTAAGTAGCAGAATTCTAGTTGAAAATATAAAGTCAGCTTCCCAAAAACTAGCTGTGCACCATGAGAAAACAGAGATAAAGCTTGTGCTTGATTTCAAGTTGAAAACTGTAGATGCAAACTGTATCACAGAAATTAATAAGCATGCAGACAGAGAATACAGCCTTAGATAAATATTCTCAAGTAGTCATTTGCAGAACTGGGTTTATATTGAACTTTTCATAAATCAAGCTGTTTAAATCACTTTTCATTGCTTCACTCTATAGTGCATTGCAAATAATCCAATCAATGTTTTTCACTTTTTTGATGTCTTGGTAAATTCTGAGACTACTGAAAGGGACCCTGAGTAGGACGCCATTTGAAAGACAAGGTTTAGTTTCTTGCTCTGTTGCTGTTTTTCTAGGTGAATGTGGGTTTCTCACCTCTGTTTCCTCATCCCTCAATGTCCTTATTTGTAAAGCTGGGATAATGGTAAAGAATGCTTTTCAGTCATTAGTCAAATAGTGAAATAAGAGAGCTACTTACTGTTCCCTTACAGTTCCAAACTTAATTGCTTCAGTCAAAGAATGTCATTATTCATTGAAATGCTAGAGGACAGAAATTATTATTAGCAAATTACCAAGACATGATGTTATTTGCTCCTCTTTGTATTTTTTTCACTCATGTCTTCTCATTTCTCTACTAAAGGCTGCTAGGAACTGTTTGGTTGACAGCAACCTTACTGTGAAAGTATCTGACTTTGGGATGACTAGGTAAGTAAAAGAACTGGGAGCCTTGTGAATCTATGATGTCAGTAGTTTACCGGCAGTGATCAGCTAGCAACTGGTTGTTAGGAAAGTTAAGCCACAGGTTGTGATACATCTCTTTGTGTCTGCTTTCCATTAATGACCAAAAGCCATTATGAGATTAGCATAAAGTCATTCTACTGTCTCAAAAAGTTAAAGCTTAAAGGCCAATTGCAGCTGAGAGATTTCACTAGTCATGTTTGTTAAAGAAATCTCAGAGTTTACTTAATGTACAAGATTTTCACCTAATTTGAGGGCCAAACATCTTGGAGAGAAGTTAGAGAGGATGAGCAGCCTAGAGAACATGTCCTCTGAGAAGAGGCTGAGGGAGCAAGCTGCTTAGCCTGGCGAAGAGGAGGCCAAGAGGGGATCTAAAAGCTGCCTGTAGCTACTTACAGTTGCAAAGCTGATGGAGCCAAACACGTCTTATCAGTGCCAGGTGATATAACTGCAGACATTGGCCACATACTGTAGCTTGGGAAGTTCAAACTGGACAGTAAGAGAAGTTGTTTCCCCAGGAGGGTGATGGAACAGTGAAATATGCCAGTCAGGGAGACTACAAGATTGCAATCTTTGGAGGCTTTTAAGACTTGGCTACACAGAGCCATGGCTCACCTGATCTGATGTTGGGAGTAATCCTATTTCACCAAGAGGATGGGCTAGATGGCCTGACAACAGGCATTTCTAAGATTCTGCATTATTCTCTGATAAGTTGATAGCAATGATCTGTTCTACAGATTCTAGCTAATGCCTCTATCAGGTATCCTTCAGAAATTTGGGGTCCTGCCCAGGCTTTTTTTAGGAACCCCGTGATGTACAAGGAAGAAGCAGTAAATAGTATTTCACTATAACTCAGTCACAACCAAATTTTGTTCTTTCCTCCTAGATATGTTCTGGATGACCTGTATATAAGTTCACTAGGAACCAAGTTTCCAGTGAAGTGGTCAGCACCGGAAGTTTTTCATTACACCAAATTTAGCAGCAAGTCAGATGTGTGGGCCTTTGGTATGTATGGAATTTGACAGATAAATATGTATGCATATATATGCCATTACATTTGGATTTTCTCAGCTTACTAAGCAGAAGTGCTAGACATTTACACACTGAAAGAATGTAAAAAGCAGTTACAGCTTATGTTCTTGTTTAATATTTTTATGCATCCAAACCTTATCCTCTTTGCATTTTTTTTAGCCCTACCATTTTACTTTTAGGCACATAGAAACTCTACCCGCTCCCCATTTCCTATATATGTGTTTAATATGGTAAACTGTTGGCAGTGGAGAGCAAACAGTATCTCTGCCATATCTAGAACATAAATCAGTGCTGTCCAAGTCAAAAGATGTTTTCTGTTTGTTGCAGAGGTCAGAGTGGTCTCTCTGCATAAGCCAGCTGTGGAAGAGAGTCTGTGTGAGCTGGGACTCTGTATCTCAGAAAAATAAGATACGTTTGCAGATCACTTTCTACCTAGGAATTTCAAATATTTGAACTTCTACTTCAGTGGTTTTCAAGCTGTTATTTACAAATCCCTGGAGTCTGTTCAGTGTTTCTAAAAGTCTGTAAAAGGTGTCAAAGGAAAGGGAGCCTTTTGTGAACAGGCCTAAATTCCTCTTACATGGGTTTGCTCCTCCAGTAGGAAAATTTTGGCAGCTATCAAGTTGATGAAAGATTGGCAACCCACTGTTCTTAACATTGAACAATGGTGAATAAAGCAGATGAAAGTGTTCCCAAATGCTGGGCTGCTTCTTATCTTTAACTTCACCTACCCTCCCAGTATTAATGACTCTGGCAGAGAAAGAGCTCATTCATGCGTTTTACAAGTTATTCATAATGTATACGATTAAATCAGAAGTTGGATTTTCTGCTGATACGTTTTCTTTTTGTTCGTATCGATGAAATCCTGGCTTCAGGCTTTATTGTCATTAACTTCAATATTGGCATTAACTTCAATGAGAAACTTTATTATTCCTTTTCTCTTCTTAACACTATCCATTGATGCAGCGGAAGCAAGGGGAGAGAAGGATCTGTCAGTTCTTGTTTGGTTGTTTTTAACTAATGAGTCTTTAAAGGACTAAAGAACTCATCTGATGTATTCATATCCCAAAAGCAGATGTCAGAGAACAAATAATCTTGGGGTTTTTTAATGTTCTCATCAGGGAAAGCTGGGATTCAGGTACCATTTTATTCTGATCCCACTGTGACACTACAATGCTCCAGTCTTCAAGCTGGAGTGAAGTCAAAGATTCAATAAATTTCTTTAAAAAAAAAAAAAGTCATTACTTTTTGTATAATATTTGTATATATATGATTGTGAAATACATATTTCACAAGGGTTTTTTTTTTTTTTTTTTACTTTACAGTTGGCATGATTATCACATATGTTCAGTTACAAAAAAAATTGTTTCCTGCAAAGCTTTCATTATGAATTAATGATTATTATATTATCCAGTGTTTCTATTACTTCAGTATAATCCAGTTTTTATAGGTATGTGTAGCTGACACTATAAAGTATTCAAAAATCTTTCTGTTACCAATAGAGTATATGTCCCACCCACTTAAATCAGTAAAAATTTTCTTATTATTCGTTAAAAACATAGATACCTATAGCTGTCATTTTGTTTTTCCTTCCCTCTCTCTGTGTACACACACATACATATACAAGGGGATGTTTGTATGTATTTTGTAAAAAAAAAATCAGTCCATGGAGAGCTATGTCCTGGGTTTTCTCCATCATTGTTCGTATTAAATATATTTTATAATTAACTTTATCATCTAACTTTATCTTCTGCAGTAGAACTTGTTTGACATTTGGGTACAGGATCCCACTTGTCAGTCATCTCCATACTTTTCTGTGTATATTCTCTGTAAAGAGTCTGGTAATTTTTATGTTGCATGTGTGTCTTATTCTGGGAAAAAGGGGTTATCTTGCATTTCTTGACTTTCATTTTTTGTCTTGCATTGCCATGAATATTTTGCAGGTATCTTAATGTGGGAGGTGTTCACTTTGGGAAAGCAGCCCTATGAGCTTTATGATAACATGCAAGTGATTGAGAAAGTTTCTCAAGGATACAGACTTTATAGACCGCAACTGGTTTCAGACATCATCTACCAGATAATGTACAACTGCTGGCATGAGGTATGTATATCTGCACGTACGAACTGGAGAAAACAAAATAACAGGAGTCAGTAGGAGTCCCTGTTGACAGCTGAACTAATGTTCATCATGGAAAATATCCCTTATAAAAGCCATTGCTTGTATGTAGTACATTCTATATAGCAGTCTAGTTCAGGATATTGTTAGTACAGGAAATATAGGGTGTAAGCAAAAATTGAGTCCCTTTTTTCAGAACCATATATTTAAGCAAATAACAGTAAAACACCCTTCAACATCAACATAATATACAGGATGAGATTCTTCTCACCTCATTTTAATGGTTTAAAATTTGGGTGCTGAGCTAACTTAATTGTTTACATTTCTCCCATGATTACAGGAACATTACTGGTACCTCTCCATAGTCATTTGTCCTTTCTGTCTTAGCCACCACAGAATAAAAGATATCTGCTTTCCTATACAGAGATCTGTATATATACAGCAAATGTAGATGAGACTTCCAACTTCTTAGATAGCTAAAGTACCTTAGAAAGCTAAAGCACCCTTTAGTATAAGAAGGATGTGTTACCCCGTCTGTGAGTCTTCTAGGAGTTGTAAGTCAAAAGCCGATCATACTTATTTTATTTTGAGAGATCTGCATCTTCTGTGGCAAGAATTACCCTGATTTAGTGTTCCTCTTCACCTCAATTTTAGTCAGCTGTCTGTGGACCATGACTTGTTTCTCATCAGCAACAAAGAACTGTCTGGCATGTTATTGGTGATATCATGAAATGACAGTGATGTTTTGGTGGGGTTTTTTTAATATAATTGTCAGAAAAATGAGAAAAATAATTTATATTTGAGGACATGTTAATACAAAGAAAGAAGATTAAACTATCACAACATAGGATAGATATAAAAAGTAACTTTAATTTTCTTTACCTCATAATCGTCACTGTCTCTACTAATTTCTGCGTGCTAAAATCAAGAAAAACTAATGAAAATTACAGTTCCTGAATGATTTCAAAATTAAATAACCATACCCATCATCTTTGCTTCATTTAGCTACCAGAAAAGCGCCCTGCCTTTTATCAGCTCTTATCATTTTTTGAGGCACTGAGAGAAGACAACAGAGCTTGAAAAAGAAGATTCAGAAACAGATGACTGTGCACACCGGTTGCGTATCTCCTGTCTTCTGTACGAGAGCTAAATCTGAAATCTGTCTGACACCAGCCACCCCTACTATTCTGTATATTAGTCTTCTCATTTAATCAGGGAGTTGACCAAGAAGGGTATGGAGAAAGCTTTTGAGGCAGTCTGTGGGTGACAGAATTTGGAAGGACACTGTGGAAGATTGTAATTCATTTTGTTAGCATTATCACAAGGGACTTCTCAGACGTTGAGATATTTATACCAATTGTGTGCACTCCTCCAGTGCTACCAAGCTGTCATTATTTGGCCTTAACTGGAAATGTAAACAAGAAAATACATGCCTGTTAGGTTTTCTCATTATCATAACTCATCTTAATGTGCTTTTTCTTTGTAATCGCTTGAAGCTGATGCCTGAAGCCAAATTTAGAACTGTTGTAAGTGACAGAAACATAAATAGTTATAGTCTTGCTTTCAATTACTTAGAAATTATTACTGGTAAAATATTTTATGAGTTAGCTTACCAGTACTATTGACTTTAGTTTCAGCCCTCAGGGTGTACATTTGATTTGGAATTTATTCTAAGCTACATATCTAAGATATTTGCGGCTTAGCAACATACGAGGTGTTTGCTAGAGTGTTATTGCTTCCTGCTACAAGTGAAAATAGAGAAAAAAAAGTTTTATGCAGAATTCCATAGTCATTGCAATAGTAAATGGTAAATTTGCTGAGCTCTATAAAACTTGAAGAGCAAAAATTTGAAGAGAATCAAAAATGCTATTAATAAAATTGCTTAACCAAGTATTTTAGTACTGAGGAGCTGAAATTTGGCTCCTGATGCTAACACTTAAATAAGAGCACCCAACTTTCAGCTGTGCGTAGCACTACACAAATTAGTGCTAACTTCAATAAGTCTAGAGATACAAATACATCTGAAGCCACGTAACTATAACAGAGGTGTCTGAACTCAGACACTGACATTTGTAAAATGCTGATCTAATATGTATAAAATAAAAGGGGTTTAAAATAAAATAAGGTCTGAAAAAAATCCTCTCCGCTCTCCTTATATTTGAACTATTTCAGTGTGTGATGCCTCTAAGAGCCCAAGTGACGTCCGCTTGCCCTTTCCCGGGTGGAGCTGGCCCAGCCCTAGCACGGACACCTCGGCAGCTCCAGTTTGAACCTGAGGAGTAAGAAATGCAAGGTGCAGACATCTGGGGAGAGGCGAGAAAGAAATTAAGGTCTCTGGCCAGCCAGGGGCTCCAGCACCTGCACTTGCCGGCGTTGTCTGGTCCCCACAGGAGAAGCCAGCCAGCAGAGCACATCCCTGTTACCTGGGGAGCTGTGTGCCTCTTTGAGGGAAAGCAGGATTCGGGGTGATGCGAATGACTGCGGGGATCCACGCAGGCCTGGGGGGGGCCATGAGGGTACATGCAGGAGAGGCAGGGCATGGTATGGTGTTGGTTGTGCATCAAGCTGGGCCGAGGACTGCTGACCCAGAGAAAGGGTCAGGAAGGAGTGCTGACACAGATAAAATATGAGAGGGTGTAGGGGGTGCCGGCCCCTGCCCCCCCCCCCCCCCCCC